AGAGGAAAAACTAGATCATAGGCACAGTGCACTTTGGTAATCAGGTGGATGAGACTAGCAGAAAGGGAGAGTCCAAAAGAGGGTTCAAACCAGGTTTCTGGTGTCAGCAACTGGGTGCTGTCTCCCATACTAGAGAACATTGAAAGTGAGGAATAGGTAGGAATTTCACTTGGTTTAATAAAATTGTTCTTTACAGATAATGAAACTTACTACTATAAGTTACTATGCTTAAATATTTTAAACACATACTTGAATATTTTCAAATATTATTTATATTCAGATGCTTGGTCAAAATAATATTTTGGCTATTAGTAAAGGAGTTTCTCCAAAATCTTTTGTCAAGATATAATTTTTAGCTTTAGTATATTCTTAGAATAATAAATATATGTATGTATATTCCTCTATAACATAGACTTTTAATATATGACACTGCCTCATTACTCCAAACCAATGAGATTCATTCACTTGTTCATTCAAATAAAATGTGGTCAGTTTCTTTAGGTGCATGCCCTGTGTGATCCCATGATGGTGAAGATCATGATAGTTGGCCCTACTTAGTACGGGTGTATTAGACAATTTGCAGTAGCAATCCTGGTTTCTGTTTTGTAACATTTTGTTTGTTACAAGAGCATTGTTAATAGTTCTTTTTTTTTTTTTAATTTTTTTTTAACGTTTATTTATTTTTTTGGGACAGAGAGAGACAGAGCATGAACGGGGGAGGGGCAGAGAGAGAGGGAGACACAGAATCAGAAACAGGCTCCAGGCTCTGAGCCATCAGCCCAGAGCCCGACGCGGGGCTCGAACTCACGGACCGCGAGATCGTGACCTGGCTGAAGTCGGACGCTTAACCGACTGCGCCACCCAGGCGCCCCAATAGTTCTTTCAAAGTATATTTCATCTTGGAATTGATGGAGTTAATTGTATTAAGGATATCTCTGGCTGTCAGACTGTGCCATCATTGAGCAAGATTATCACAGATTTTGAAATATTTTTTAATGTTTATTCATTTTGAGAGAGACAGAGAGCATGAGCAGGGGAGGGGCAGAGAGTGAGAAAGAGAGAATCCCAAGCCAGCTCCATGCTGTCAGCACTGATGCCTAACCGACTGGGCCACCTAGGTGCCCCAGGTTTTGAAACGTTGACACGTCAAGCACTTAACAAAGTTAAGTACAAAGATATAGTAGAAGAGTAAAGTGAGTTAGTTAAATGTATACTCTTTGAAAGTACTCTATTTCATGTGAATTTTTTTTAGCAGATGATGTAGTTTTACTCCAAATGAGGCAAGTAATCTCTCTAGAAGAGAGGAATATCTCAAAACTAGAGTGTATTATCCATCTTACCTTATCATGACATTGATTTTATTATTTGTACTTAATTTGGAATTGGGAGAAGTTGGGTATCAGAGATTCGTATCACTCACTACTTACTGAAACCTGTAGGACTTAGCAAATTTCATATTATTAGTAGGATAAATAATTTGCCTATGTATTTTGTCTTTTAATTATTTTAGGAAGAAAATAAACCTCAGAGGAAAAGCCAAAGTTGTTTTTATTTTCAGCTAACTTAATTTTTATTAAGGAGAGCTAGCTACCATTTCATTTTATTTTTAACTTTTAAAGTTTATTTATTTTTTAGAGAGGGAGACAGAGAGACAGAGCACAATGGGGGAGAGGCAGAGAGAGAGGGAGACACAGAATCCGAAGCAGGCTCCAGGCTCTGAGCTATCAGCACAGAGCACAATGTGGGGCTTGAACCCACAAACTGTGATATCATGACCTAAGCCTAAATCTGATGCTTATCTGAGCCACCCAGGCACACCATCTTTTTTTTTTTTTTTTGACAATTAAAAAAAAAACTACCATTAAAAAATATTTTTTAATGCTTATTTATTTTTGAGAGAGAGAGAGAGAGAGAGAGACAGAGTGCAAGTGAGGGAAGGACAGAGAGAGAAGGAGACACAGAATCTGAAGCAGGCTCCAGGCTCTGAGCCATCAGCACAGAGCTTGATGCGGGGCTTGAGCCCATGAACCACGAGATGATGACCTGAACTAAAGTCGGACACTTAACCGACTGAGCCACCCAGGTGCCCCTAATGGCTACCATTTTAAATGACAAGGAATTTTATTTGCTCATCAAAACAGTACATAAAGCAAATGAACAGAGATGCTAGGTGCTGCTACAGGGATACTAACTTTGTTTGTTAGCCTCAACTAGATACTGAAGGGACCAACAATGAGAAAATAACTAATTGTGTGTGTGTGTGTGTGTGTGTGTGTGTGTGTGTGTGAGCACGCGCACGCACATGTGCACGGGCACCCCTGCATCTTCCCCCAGTCTTTCATGGATACTCCAAGGAAGGAAGACAATTGTTATTAGGGAGTTTATGGTCCCCAGCACAGGATCTTTTACACATAGGAGGACTCAGTAAATACGTGTTGAGTGAATAAGATTGCATTTGCCAGATAATTTTCTATAGTACAGAAAACAAGTTTCTGTTCCCTTAAAACCAATGCCACCTTCGTTAAAATCTGATTATTATAGTCTTGGCTTTTCATTTGCAGAGATGATGCCTAGTGTCTATTTTTCTGCCAGGCATTATAGCTGGAGCTGATGAAAGAATGGTTAGAAAGACACAGACGATCCCTGCCTTCAAGTGGCTAACAGTCTCATGGGAATGATACATGAAGTGACAGTCATGAAATGCTGTGAAGATAAGGGGAGCCAAATGGCTATGAGAGCAAGAGCAGCCCTTGGCTTTCAGGAAGTAGAGTTGGGATTGGAGTCCCAGGAAGACTTGTAGGGGGCAGGAAGCCCAATACATCTTTACTTTGGTTTCTTCCTTTTTTTAAACTTTCTATGATAGAAATTTTCAAGCATATACAAACGTAGAGGGATGATTCAACAATTATCTACAAAAGACAGTTTTGTTTCATCTGCACTCTCCTCACTACCCCCAACCCCTCAATGGACTATTTTGAATCTAATTCCAGACCTTATGTTATTGTGTCTGTAAATATTTTAGTGTGTTATCTCTAAAGGATAAAGACTCTTGTTTTATTTAAAAACCATGACTATAATAGTATTATCTCACCTAAAAATCAATAATAATTTCTTAATATTTTCAAATATCCAGTCAGATTAAAATTTCAGGTGTCTTGTGATTTTTTTTTAAAGATTCAAACAAAGTCCACACACCGCATTTTGTTGATATCGGAGGATGTTTTGAATGGCATGAGGATCACCCAAGGGAATATGCAACCCATGTAGGTAGCAGCTTCTTGTGTGGTTTGTTCATTGCTTTGTTGTTGTTGTTGTTCACTATTTTGGTCACTCAGTACCTAGAATGGTACTTAACACATAATAGGTTCTCAACAAATACTTGGTGGATAGGTGGATGAATGGGATATGAATGTGTTTCAAGCTGAGGGAGCAAAAGTGAGTGTGAAGGTCTGAAGATCTATGAGATCACAATGTGTGTGTGTGTTTTTCACCAAGTGATCCTCTGACACCAGCTGGGTGTCCTCCAATTCAACTCAGTTCTGCCACTATCTACCCGGAGATAGCATCAGATCCCATAGGCTAAGGACTTAGTCCCAAAGACTGCCTCATCACTTTAGACACCAGTGACAAAGTCAGGTTGTTACCTGTGCTTCTAACCAACTGGCTAAAGATCGGAGGCTCCTATAAGCCCTCTTAGGGTTTGATTAATATGCTAAAGTGGCTCCCAGAACTCAGAGAAACATTCTACTTACTAGACCACCGGTTTATAATAAAAGGATACACATGAGGAACAGCCAAATGGAAGAGATGCCTCACATGGGGCTAGGTAGGTGGGAAAGCATGCAGAACTTCTGTAGTCTCTAAGCAAGCAACTCTCCCCACATCTCCAAGTGATCACCAACCCAGAAGCTTCTGACATCCATCCTTTCGGATTTTTATGGAGGCATCATTACATAGGCACGACTGATTAAATCATTGGCCGTTGGTGATTGGCTCAACCTTTAGGTCCTCTCCTCTCCTCAAAGGAGGAAGTGAAAATTCCAACCTTCTGTTCACAGGGTTGGTTCCCCTGGGAACCAGCCCCAATCCTTAGGGTAATAAAAGTCATCTCATTAACATAATATGAGAATCTTTTCCTCTCTCAACATTTAAGAAACTTTAATGGCTTTAGGAGCTTTGTCCTAGGAATGCAAGAAAGACCAAGTATATATTTCTTATTATAAGGCACAGTATTACAGCAGTACATTTTGGGATTGATCCATTTCATAAGTGGCTGGAGTACAGATTTTGGTTGATGGCAGGAGATGTGACTGAACCAAGGTAGGGGCCAGATCATGCAGTGCTAAGCACAGTGATTAGGAACTTTTAGAGGACTTTCAGGAGTCAAGTTGACATGATCAGGTCCTCATCTTGGAAAGGGTGACTTCCAATTATGCCTGAGGGACTAATAGATCCCTGGCAGATGGTGCCACATTCAAAAAGATATCAATCATGCAATGAAAGTTAATTAAAGAGAAACTAAATGCTTGTTGCAGTGTTATCCCCATAGTTTCTCGACCTTTTGGCTAAGATCAAGTGTATTGCAATGTCCCCCAAAAAGTTCTGGAAGAGATCTCATCCTTAGCATAGTGAAAGTCTTCAGATTTTTCCCCTAAGTCTCTCTCCTGCTAAAATCTGTCCCATGAACTCGGTTCACTCAGGCTGTCTTGAATCCTTCACCTTTTATCTGTTCCTCATCTGTTTTGCTTTCCTGTCCTCTACTATAAATCCAGATAGGCTTCCCAGTTTTCTTGAGCCTAGCAGGCCAGCTAGAAGTCCCCTTAGCAATATGGGAGACAGTTCTATAGGGACATCCATTCTCCATCACTCTTATAGGACACAGACTTCTCTGGGTCCTGCAGTATGTGAATGACAGTGATGTTCTGACTAATGCTTTTTCCCCAAAAGAGTGAAAATCCTAATTATTACACTTGAAATCAGTCTCTTTCTTTTTCCATCAGAACACAACTCTGCCACATACTTGAAAATTCCATCATCACTGCCTTGACAATGTGTACAGTTAATTGGAATGTCACTGCTCAAGTCTCAGAATCTTGCCTGGGTGCCTCCGCATGTGGTAAGCAGCGCCCTGGGGCTCCTTTGTGAACACAGGAGGATGATGCTAGGTGGGAGGGGAGCCAGGCTGGGGAGATGTCAAGCAGAAAGCCACGAGGAGAGTCCCAAGACACTGGTTTCTGGCAGAATTCAGATGTTAGAAATGCATAAAAATGTATCTTCTTGGGATTAAACTTGATTTCTGGGACTGGATTGTTTGGGATGAAATTTACAGAAGTTTGTGGTAAAATAGTGATTACATATCTTGGGCCAGTCACTTTATATTTGTGTATTTTATAGTCTACTAATTTGTATTATTGTATTGAAACCTTAATACTTATTTAAAAATATTATTTAAGCAGTGTGGGCTTCTTGAAATCTTTATAGACCAATAATGAGGGGTTTTTTCTTTTTCTTTTCTAAGCAGCTGCCACCATACTATCTTTGCTTTTATTGGATTCTTTGAAAAGCCTATTTAGAAACTACTTATTTTGAAAAACCTCTGGGAGAACTCTCATACTAAAAAATTCTTAATATCGCTATGAAAGACACCAAAAATGTGAAAATATCCCCTGATGAATGGCTACAAGGAGGGTTTCATTAGATTTAGAATTAGTGCGAACTTGAATTGCTTCAGTATGATATATTACCAAAACAATCGTTTTGCAACTCATTGAAATTTAAAGGATTATTCTCAAAGGAGTGTTAAAGGAAACAGATGGGCCAAGTACTAAATTTGGAGTTTAAAAAAACTTGTACATTTCAATAAAGTAAATAAAAGCATGAGTTTCATGCTTGCCTTTCACTACCAGAAGGTCCTTTTAACACTTTAAAAGGATATCAGTGTTCAAACGATTAGCAATTGCTTCTCAAGTTTATGTTAATCCATGACACAGTTCATAAAGAAAGAATAAGATGTGAAACAGACCAGTTATAAGCCTTGTGGCATGCTTCGCAATGCTGATGATAAAGTAGAAATTCTAAGCGAATTGATAAACTGTTAGACCGCTGCTGATTTCAGCTGTCACCTGGCCTCTCCCACAGTTTCACAGATGACAAAAAGGAACTTGAACACAGTTGGTGGAAAGTGGACACTAGAACATCACCTCTGCCCTCTCTAGAAGCAGTGTTTTTCTTTTTTATATTGTACCTCCACACGCTTTTCTTTGCTTTGGAAACGACTACTCAAAATATATACTGATTTGTTAGTTTTCAAAGAGTAACATCAGGAAGGGACTTGCAGGACATGTAAAGAAACTTCTATTTTATCCTAAAGGTGATGAGGAGTTATGGATGACATTGGTATTGTAGAATTTTCTCTCTTCCAAACCTCACTATTCTTTACTTAGGTAACTTAAGTCATCTCTCAATCTCTACATCTCCTCATTTCGATATTATCTCATAGTATAAATTATAGAATTGCTAATAATATCATGTGGAAGTTGGTTCAGAGGTTCCTACATTTAGATTTTAGACATACTTGTAGCATATGTGTATACTTATGGCTTTGAAGTCCTTTCTTCCACTAAAAAGGAAATAAATTTCAGAATGGTATATGGCTTCTGGCAAGAATACCATTTCAACCGTGTTTTTTCTGCAAGGATCTTTTTTTCTGGGTCTGGTATGAATTATGATTCCTAACACTGGATTTATTTTTATAGAAAGCTCAATTTATCTTAGAAACTACCATTAACAGCAGTGAAAGCTAAGGCCAAATATTGGTGCACTCTATTTTCCCAACTTTCAGAAAAATTCTGTATAAGCCATTGAATACTCTAATGTTGTTACTGAAGGCAATAAGATGATGAATTGTGGTCTAACAGATACTGGACTTTGGACTTTTTAAAAAAAAGATATTATTTTTAAATAATCTCTACACCCAAGATGGGGCTCAAACTCATGACCCTGAGATCAAGAGTTATGTGTTCCTCCAACTGAGCCAGCCAGGTGCCCTGATACTGGATTTTCTTGGGGTAACCAAAAGATTTGACACAGACCTTGTAAGTTAACAATAGATTATATCAGCCTCCTTTCTTTCTTTTTTTTTTTTTAAACTCTGAATTGTATTCAAGTCAGCAAGCCCAAAGGAAAGTCAATCTGATTAATTAATCCTCAACCACTCATTTTCATTGATCAAATAATAAAAGTCTGAAACTCCTAGAGCTACCTATAATAAAACGAGCACGGTGCTGAGAATTTTATATATACTGTTCAACAACATAGAAATATATACACTCTATTCAATGTATAGCATGAAGGGAGGCTTCTATGGCAAGTATCAAACACATGCATTCAGCATCATAGGGGAGTCAAAGCTGAAGGATTCTCAACCTGGGGTATTGTTGGCTCAATTCTTTACTGTGTGGGAGGGCCACTAAAGGCAAGGTGTGTAGCATCTTTGGCCCTTGAACACCAAGTGCCTGTAGCACCCACCAGTCAACAATGTGCCCTCCCCACCTACATTTTCAAATGCCTACTAGAAGGGTGTTCCATCCATGTGGAGATGAGATGATAACCATCCTCCCTTTACTCCAACCTCTCTCTAAAAATAATTTCAGAGGAAAATCTCAACCTTTTTGTTTGAGGCAAAATTCCTGACCAATCTACTTGATTGACCTAATAAATAAAGCTGTTTAGGCCACTGCATGGGTGTGAAAAGCTGAGGTTCCTTCCCGCTAACTTGGGACACAGTAGAGCATCCATATAGGGCTGTAATGCAGCTGCCATAGAACAGTAGTTGCTAAACCCCAGTGTACTGGGAATCACTTGGAGTGTTTTTGACAAGGTAGATTTTGATTTAGTAGGTTTGAGCCAGGGTTCAGGACCTGCATTTTGCAGAACCACTCCAGATAAATGTGATTTGTGTTGCTACCTATGCAACCTTTCAATATACATTCCCTTAGAAGATTTAAACTCCAGGAAAATTCTTCCAGACCAATTGGTAACAGAACATCCTTTAATAATAGTGTGCAGGATATGGAAAAGGTTCTAGTATAAGTTGAGAGCAATATTAGAGGAAGAAAAAAGCAGTGGTCTTGTCTTAGGAATGTCTTTGCTCAGAGGGTCAGGGCTTGGACCTATCTGAAGAAGAGGAAATAAACAGCCTGGCCCCTAGGAATGGCCACAGTTTATGAGATTTCTGTACCTTCCCCAGAGAGGAGCGATGTAGAAAAATATGGGAATGACTTGAGCACAAAAATGGATGGGAATGGAGAAGTGGTGGCTTCCTGAGCTGCGATGGACAGGAAGTCCATGTTCACAGACACATCTCTCTGCCTTTACTGGGATCACTTCCAAAAATGAAGGGTTTGGTAAGAAAATGTGGGCTGGAATTTATCCTCATTCTTGGTTGATACTCTGTGCAGGTAGGGTATTGTGTAAAACCAATTTGAAATGGTAGCCCACTTTCTGTAATGACCTGCCATAGCTCCTCATTATAGGGTTGGCCCCAGCAAACTTGAGGAAGGAGGTGAAGTTTCTCTTTAGTGTCCTATCCCCTCTTTGTCCACTCTGCTGCAACACTCTTTCCTCTTCTGTCATCTCCTAAAGCCTACTAAGGAAGCCCTTTAGCCCTATTTTTCCAAAAGCTCGTTCTCAACTAATTTGTATCTACTCCTTACTGGGGGCTTAACCAGAACACAAATTAAATTTTTCCTCTTGGAGGCCTTTATTGCAAGGAGTCCCTGAAAAATTATAAGCCTTTGCCACACTGAAGATGAAATGCAAATGGTGAGTTCAAGCACCTAGGTGAAGAGTTTGGGGCAGTCTACATTCAAGAACTCTGAAACAAAATAAAATGTCACTCATAAAGCTGGTCATGTAAAAGTATGAGTTAGAACTTCATCTAAGACATGTCACAGTATCAGAGGGGACTTAGAATGATCATGTGGTCCGTCTGTAGGCTTTCAGCCCATCTCTACTTGGACTTCGTGGAGAAATGGCGTTCTTTTTTCTTCTTTGAACAAATTTCCACTAAAGAAAGTTGCAGTGAATAACTAAACTATTTTATTACCACAAAGCCCAATCTGCCATCTATTCTTTCTTACTTGGACTGTAACAGTAGTGCCCCAAACTGCACTGACTCTTGCCACTACTCCTCCTTTTCCACTGAGTCCCCCTCCTCAGCCCCATCACTGCACACTTGGTAACCTGTTTGGCACACTGAAGTCCAAGTGACCTTCTACAAATGCTAATTAGATTTTGGTAATTCCTGGGGCACCTGGGTGGCTCAGTCGGTTAAGCATCCAACTCTTGATTTCGGCTTAGGGGGGTGCCTGGGTGGCGCAGTCGGTTAAGCGTCCGACTTCAGCCAGGTCACGATCTCGCGGTCCGTGAGTTCGAGCCCCGTGTCAGGCTCTGGGCTGATGGCTCAGAGCCTGGAGCCTGTTTCTGATTCTGTGTCTCCCTCTCTCTCTGCCCCTCCCCCGTTCATGCTCTGTCTCTCTCTGTCCCAAAAATAAATAAACGTTGAAAAAAAAATTTAAAGATTTCGGCTTAGGCCATGACTTCATGGTCCATGAGTTTGAGCCCTGCATCAGGTCCTGTGCTGACAATGGGATTCTCTCTCTCTCTCTCTCTCTCTCTCTCTCTCTCTCTCTCTCTCCTTTCTGCCTTTCCCCTGCTCACTCTCTCTTTCTCAAAATAAACAAATACACTTAAAAAAAAGATTATGCCAATTCCTCGATTAAAACTATTTTGTGGCTTCCCACTCTTCGTAGGATGAAGAACTACTTGCCTGGCCACAAAGCCCTTCACGATTCTCCTCTTTGCTCTCACCTCCAGCCTCCCCAGTCTCCTTTCATACCTTCAGATGTGCCATCACGCTCCTGTTACTTTGTGACTTTGCACAGACTGTGATAGCTCCTGCAGGCTTTCTTCTGTGCTGCCCCAAACCCATCATCACCATATTGTTTAGACCCTATTTTTGGTCCATTGCACCAGTCATATCACTGCTTCTCTTTTTTATGTATTTGTGTGCTTATTTGATTAATGTTTGTTTTCCCAACTAGTCTACAACTTCTGTGAGGTGAGGACTTGGATGTCTTTTACTCATAAGTATATTCCAAGTGTCATAGAGAGAGGCCAGACCATAGTAAGTTTGCTATGAATATATGCCTAATAAATGCATGAACCGTTCCTTTTACTTAACTTTGGTTTGAGCTCATTTTTAGTCATTGAAAGCAGTGGGGAACCTCCGGCCACTACCCTATAGCTCTTCCTTTGCTTTTGGATGTGATACCCTATCACTTTGATGGAAGGGCACAGATGCCTCATTAACATGGAAACTGGGCAGTATAAATTAATTTTAATGTCACTAGATTAGTTTATTAACATATGTTGCTAATTTTCTTCAATTTTTAAACTTTCCCCTTGTGCTCAGACTCTGATTTGGTAACTGGAGAGGGTTAACTTCATTACATAGGAGTTTACAGCCCCTAGAATTTTTCCATATTAGAAAAAAAACTTTTTCTTTCTTTCCTTTCTTCCTTTCTTTCTTTCTTTCTTGCTTTCTTGCTTTCTTGCTTTCTTTTCTTTTTCCCTCTCCTCCCTTCCATTCCCTTTCCTTCTTCCCTCTTCCCCTTCTTTTCTCTTCTCTTCTCTTTTCTTTTCTTTCTATATTAACAGCAAAGTTGAGAAATATAGCAAGTAAGAGATAGAAAAAGAAGGAATTGTTAGAATGAGCTATTTGAGGGGCACCTGGGTGGCTCAGTCAGTTAAGTGTCTTTGGCTCAGATCAAGATTTCACGGCTTTTGAGCTTGAGCCCCACATCTAGCTCAAAACCTGAAGCCTGGGGAGCCTGGGCGGCGCAGTCGGTTGAGCGTCTGACTTCAGCCCAGGTCACGATCTCGCAGTCCGTGAGTTCGAGCCCCGCGTCGGGCTCTGGGCTGATGGCTCGGAGCCTGGAGCCTGTTTCCGATTCTGTGTCTCCCTCTCTCTCTGCCCCTCCCCCGTTCATGCTCTGTCTCTCTCTGTCCCAAAAATAAATAAACGTTGAAAAACAAAATTAAAAAAAAAAAAAAAACCTGAAGCCTGCTTCAGATTCTGTCTCCCTCTCTCTCTGCCCCTTCCCCACTGGCGCTCTCTGTCTCTCTTTCTAAAAAATAAATGTTACAAAAAAATTTTTTTTAAAAGAATGAGCTGTAAGATGGCAATAAAGAAATGGAAATTAATGATAGTTTACAAAAAAAGAACCAGGGACCTTTTGAGAAATTTTTATTAAAATTTTTTTAATGTTTATCTTTATTTTTGAGACAGAGAGAGAGCATGAGTGGGGGAGAGGCAGAGAGAGAGGGAGACACAGAATCAGAAGCAGGCTCCAGGCTCCGAGCCGGCAGCACAGAGCCCAAGGCGGGGCTCGAACCCATTAACTGCCAGATCATGACCTGAGCTGAAGTTGGACGCTCAACAGACTGAGCCACCCAGGCACCCCATGAGAGAGGTTTTTATTTTAAAGGAACAAGATTGTTCTTTAAACTGTACCGGTTTCTTTTTATTGAATCTGAATCCAATATCTGAATCCAGGATCCAAGTGCATCCTGACCAAAGTTTCTCCTGTGTCTGGATCTCAGGGATTATTGCCTACATATGAATGCATTTGCTTGTTTGTTTATTAATAGTGACTGTGATTTTTATTGTTTTTAATTTTTTTAATGTTTATTTTTGAGAGAGAGAGAGAGACAGAGTGTGAGTGGGGGAGGGGAAGAGAGCAAAGGAGACACAGAATCTGAAGCAGGCTCCAGGCTCTGAACGGTCAGTACAGAGCCCAACGTGGGGCCCGAACTCACAAACCATGAGATCATGACCTGAGCCAAAGTCAGATGCTTAACTGACTGAGCCACCCAGACGCCTCAGTAGTGCCTGTGATTTTTAAAATAAAAATTACCACTTACAGGATACCATGTGCCAGACACCTGACATACAGTATCTCATTTGGTTCTCAGAGACAGGTTATGATTATTCGCCCCCCCCCCCATTTTACCAATAAGGAAAGTATGGTTCAGAGTTAAGCAATTTTCCAGGACTCACAACTTTGAACAGATCCGGATTCAAATCCCAAGTATGGATAATTCTAAGTCCTGTGCTCCTGTCACACTTCCTCTTTAAAATGAACTCCTCCCCCAAAATAAATAAAATGAAACCCTAATATTTGATAGGGTTTAAAAATTTCCCCATTTTCACAGATGAAATCACTTAAAGCAGTGGTTTTCTAAGTGTGATGGTCAGATCAACAGAATCAGCATCACCTGGTAACTTGTTAGAAATGCAAATTCTCTGACTATACCCCAGACTTAGTGAATCAGAAATTGTGGTCTGGGTGGGATGGACCCAGTAATTTGTGTTTTAACCAGACCTCCATGCCATTTGACTGCACACATCCTATTGACTTTCCAGATGCCACTCCTGGAGAATGTTTCTCCCTCTTTTTCAGGATCCCCAGAAAAGCAACCAATGCATGGTGACCTGAAAACCTTCTGGGGGCTTTGCTTTGCTTGGTTTGAAATGGTGACACATAAGCTTACACTGGTTAAGTAAACAGGCAACATTGAACAACATTTAACCTGGATGTTGTGGTGGATTGCAAAAGGTCACTGTATTCTTTAGTTAACATTTGTAGTGTCTCCACGTCTGCTTTCTTCCAGAACGGGAAGCGGAAGTTCTAAACTACCGCCAACTCTTGGTATTTCCGGCCTTGCTGAGACCAGAAAGCAGCGGAAGAGACAAATCTTTCTTGTGAGAGTTCCCATTTGATTTTCAAATCAAGGTGCACAGGATCAAAGGTCTCTTGAGTACAGATCAGCATCCCAAACTTTGATGCTTATCTAAATAAACAGCTTGAAACTCTGCTCTAGTAGTTGTAACACAGGCAGGTGACTGAGATAAAGAGGTAAATCAGCTGCTAAGGAATGAGGGGAAATTCCCACCTAATAGCCAAAAGCAACAATATTTGAGCATGTGATTGCCTCTTTTTTTAATTTTCTAAGGTATGGTGATCAACACCTTTAATAAATTGAAGATGGAAGGTCTTAGACCTCGAGTAAATTGGAGGAAAAATCGTTTCCACAAATGGATTCTTTCATTATGATAAAAAATTGCTGAAGATCTTTAGGGAGTCACCCTGCCAAGAATTTTGGCTGCAGTTGAACTAGTTAATATACTTTTGTTATATGATCTCTAAAATAACTTAAAGCATATGGACATAGAAGAAACAGAAAAGATCATACCATGTTTTCTGTGTATTATTTAGCTTAGATTTTCTCTTGAAATGATATGTGATTTTTTTTATAGGGAAAAATAATTATTCACACTATAAGAAATCAACAGAAATTTAGATTATTTTTAAAATAGTGAAACTTCTAGATGGAAACCTTGGAAGATAATCTGTGAATAAAAAGAGTGCATTTGGTGTGTCATTGGGCAAACTGATAAAACACATTCATCTTAAAGGGAGTTGAGGAATTTCTACTGTCCCCAGAGCTTCCGTTGGTAAGTTAGTCCTACCACTGTGAACAAACGAAATGAAACTAGAGGAGTATTTTAGTTATACTCATGGTTTAGCATCTTCAGAAACACTAGTCTGATACTTCTGTCTGTTGAGTTTTTAAGGGAATTAGTTTTCAATACCAGCCTTAAAATATCTGGACTAAAATAATCACATTAGCCCTTGTTAAATGTACTCATAATCAAGTAACAAAACAATAGTGTTCTCCCTACTTTATACCTAAAGCTTGAAATTTCTAATCAGTGTTTCCACTTTGTTGTGTGACATTGCATTGCTTAGAGCTTCCTGAAATACTTGCATGCCATATACATTTCTAATCTATATAAAAGAACACTGATACATAAGCAATGTCTTTTCCTCTAGCTTAAAATAATAAGTCCGTTTCTGCACAATCTGAGAACACAGACAACTTGAATCTTGAATAAGAAGCTCTGGATTCTAAGTTGAGTCCTGCTGTGAAATTAATCTTTGCTTTAGATCTCCACCTTGTGGTTAAACGTTTAAAATGTAAATTCCTTTGGATTTTATGATCCTGGTTTATAGATTCTTTTAAGAAGGAAGTCAGGATGGACATTGTCTGAAAATACCTTAGTTGAGATGATGTGTGAAAATAACGGAGGCTTAGAATTGGGTACTTAAAAATTTATAATTCAGATTTAGCTTATTTCAGGATGATTTTTCCCACTGAGGCACTTGTTTGCCACTTTTTGTTCAGCTACCTTAAGAAGTTAGTTTTGGGTTTCTTAAGGATTGAAGAGGCTTTCAGGGGCCATCTTTTAAATTAGTTCTGGAATAGAAGGAGCCAATAAGGGGAACCGCATTAGTAGTATCTTCCCACACCTTCAGTAGCCTCCAATGAGTGGATTAGATTAGAGATTACAACCTCAGAACGTTGGGGAGAAACATAAGAAGTACTCTAACGTGTGGTTTAACTTGGTCCAAGAAAGCAGACAGGTGACAACTTGAACATCCTGTGATTTCATTTTCTAAGTTTCCTCATCACAGCATAGAAAAGCTGTAAGGCATCCGCTGGGTGTATGGCAGCTCTCTATGCAGCTTGTAGACCACATCAGTCCAGCACAAAGTCCCACCAGGGGGAAGCCTGATGTACTCCGACTAGAGCTCTTTGGATTTACATAAGGTTTGGTTTACAGAATTTGGCTAACAAAGTACAATTTTTATTATACTGACTTGTTTACATGTTATGCTTGACTCCTGTCTTTTTGTTTCACACTCCAAAGCAAATGGTGACTCTACCTCAAAAATCACACCCAGGATCTGACAACTCCCCTTCACGTGCATTGTTCATAGGATTCAGACTGAACCTGTTAGGATGTAAGTCAGATTCCCACTGCTCCTCTGGATAAAAACCTTCCATGACTTCCCTTTCATGCAGATTATTGAAGTGCCTTCCTGAGAACTCTCAACTTATAGATCATGTAAACATGGAGTGATTGGGGTGCCTGAGTGGCTCAGTGCATTAAGCATCTGATTCTTGATTTCAGCTCAGGTCATGAGCTCATGGTCTGTGAGATCAAGCTCCATGTCAGGCTCTGCACTGACAGTGTGGAGCCTGCTTGGGATTCTCTCTCTCCCTCTCTCTCTCTCTCTCTCTGCCCCTCCCCTGCTTGTGCACTCTCTCTCTCTCTCTCTCAAAATAAATAAACTTAAAGAAAACATGCAATAATTCCATTTTTTTCTTATTTCCGATTTCCAAACTTCCCTATTGAACTGCCCTTAAAAACATCTTGGGCCACATTATGGTGCACCTGGGTGGTTCAGTCAGTTAAGCCTCTGACTCTTGATTTCAGCTCAGGTCATGATCTCATGGTTTGTGGGATCAAGCTCCATGTCAGGCTCTGCACTGACAGCCTGGAGCCTGCTTGGGATTCTCTCTCTCCCTCTCTCTCCCTGCCCTTCCCCTGCTTGCTCGCATGCATGCATATGTGTTCTTTCTCTCTCTCAAATATAAGTAAATAAAACTTTATAAAAAAATCTTGACCACATTTCCTATTATTTGTGTGCATTTGATTATTGGGACACTCTTATCTGAATATTTAAGACAGTTCATTCTAAAACTTCAAAAGCTTTTCTCCTTTTTCTCTGACACTGTCTACCTGGTGACCTGAAAATTGGGTGTCTGTGGACTTTCTTATCACATTCTTTCTTTTTTTTTTTCCTTTTGTAACCTGCTTCTCACCTCTCCTTGGTCCCCAGCCTCCCACAGGTTCTCTAAGTGCTCACTGCAGGCAGATATGTCAGTGGGATGGGAGATGAAGCTCTTCTCCCCTGACTGGTGACAGAGTCATGGTTTACAGCACTGTTTCTCAGACTCTTATGCACATGTGAATCTCCTACTGGGCTTGATAAAAAGCAGATTGTGATTCAGGAGGTTGAGGGTGGGGCCTGAGACTCTGCATTGCTAATAACTCCCAGGTGATGCTGACACTGCCTGTCAGAAGGTCACAGTTGAGTAGCAAGGGATAGAGGAGTCCTCTGCTCATTCTTTAGCCTATTTCTGTCTGATGCTGGCGGCCTCTGTTGATACGGTGGTCTCTGCGTAGGGATTATTGGTGGCTTGTAAGGGTCATAATTTAGCTTCATTTTGGGTCCTTTTTTGCTGCCAGGAGTAACAGTTTGAAACATTTCTCCAGGTTGGGCTGCCTGGGCAGCTCCCGGGGCTCCTGTCCCTTGGTTAATCTCTGTGTGACCCTCGTAGGGAGCCAAGTTATAAGAGGGATGATAGTACATACCCTCTAAGGACCATGGAGAACTGGGATTGGGAAGGGGTTGCCCCCATCCTTCTACACACATTACAGAACAGTCTCATCAAACCTTGCAGATGTGGAGGCGCCTGGGTGGCTCAGTCGGTTGAGCGACCGACTTCGGTTCAGGTCATGATCTCATGGTTTGTGAGTTCGAGCCCCGCGTCGGGCTCTGTGCTGACAGCTCAGATCCTGGAGCCTGCTTCGGATTCTGTGTCTCCCACTCTCTCTGCCCCTCTGCCACTCATGCTCTGTCTCTCTCTGTCTCAGAAATAAATAAACATTAAAAAAAATTAAAACCTTGCAGATGTGGAATCTCCTATCATGGGAACAGATGTTAGGCAACACTTTATTCTTCCCCAGATTAGGGAAGAGACTATAAAGGCAAATATGCCACAGGCCTCTTCTCTGGTAATGGCCTGTCTCACCAAGCTTGTCCTCTGTACTGGGATGAATGTAGGCCTGTGGGCTCTGCAGCCCAGTGTGGATATATCCAGGAAATAATGCCTGCTCTCTTATAGGGATTTTCTTATAGCTTTCCTTTTGGAAGGAAAACCTCCCTGACCTCCTCCCCAAGAAGGTGGGGGACTGTCCCCCTTCTCACTAGACCCTCAAACCATGAATTATGACCTCTTCTGTCATCTTCTTATAGAATCTGGTAGTGCCTCCATCCTGCGGACTTTGCCTCCATTTTTGGATCTTCCTTTTCTCCTTGTTTCTCCCTGGCTTCAGCATAGACTCACAATTTAAAACTTTGATGGAGGGTGGAAGTCTCTTCCTAAGCATGGAGCCAGGGATGGGTAGGGAATGGTGGTCCATCTTCCATGGTCCCTGCCCCTAAGACAAAACAACAGCTCTCTCATATACTGGTCTTTTCCTCCTCTTTCTCCATATCTGAGACTTGAGCTCTGCCCTTCTTTCACTAACTCAGTCTCCACTGACATAGTGCCAACACCTGCCTTGGCTCAAACTCAAATATGTCTATCGCCACTTCCACCACATATCCATCACTTCTGCATCACCTCCTGCCCGACTCTCCATCTGCAGTCTTACCCTCAAGATTTTGCACAGGTTACAGCCAGTTACATTCTGCCCTGAAACCTTTAATAGCTTCTCCCCTTACCCAAATCTAAAACAAAGCCTAGACTTTAAACCTATTCCTAAAGCTCTGTATATCCTTGCCCTACCCTGCCGTCTCTCCCTTCAGGGCTTTCATGCCATTCTATCAGGAGAAAGTGCTACACTTGAGAAAGTTGAAGACATGGGATTTAAAAATGATGACCACAGGGGCGCCCGGGTGGCTCAGTCGGTTAAGCATCTGACTTTGGCTCAGGTCATGATCTCACTGCTCATGAGTTCGAGCCCTGTGTTGGGCTCTGTGCTGACAGCTGAGCCTGGAACCTGCTTCACATACTGTGTCTCCCTCTCTCTCTACCCCTCTTCCGCTCACACTCTCTTTCCTTCAAAAGTAAATAAACGTTAAAAAATTTTTTTTGTAAATGATGACAACAGCCTTGTCTGAGGTTTGGTGGTAGCAGGGCTGACCTCAAATGCTGGTACTTCTGGGAACTTGCAATGTGGAGGCATGAAGTGCCTTTTACTCTCAGCTCTAGACTTAAGACTTAAGCAGTTTTGTGGGATGGGAAAGGCAGCTCCGCCAGGATATGGAATGTGAGCCCACATTCCATATCCTGGCACACTTGAATGAGTGAACTGAAACAACCCCGTTCTCTACTTTTTCATTTCCTCCTCCTTTCCCAGGAGTGAGCCAGAAGAGATGGTTTGTGGTAGATAGGAAGGTAGGGTGGATATGAAAATGAGAGGCTCCAGAGCATTATGTAATCTGTTAATGACACTGCAGAGAGCACAGACTCTAGGTAAAAATACTCACAGCCCTGTCATTTCAAAGCTCTGTAACTCTGGGCAAGTTCATGAACTTCCTTGGCCTTTTTAACTTATCTGATAAATGGGACAAGTGGTGTTTATCTTTTATGGTTGTTAAACCACATATGTAAATATTAAATGCTCATGTACTAATTATGGAAGTATCCCAAGTGTCCATTGATAGAAGGATGGATAAAGAAGATGTGGTACATATATACATTGGAATATTACTCAGCCATAAAAAGGAATGAAATCTCTCCATTTGCAATGACATGGATGGAGCTAGAGGGTATTATGCTAAGTGAAATGGGTAAGTCAGAGAAAGACAAATACTATATGATTTCAATCACATGTGGAATTTAAGAAACAAAACAAATGAACAAAGACAAAGACAAACCAAAAAAACAGATCCTTAACTATGGAGAAAAAACTGATGGTTACCAGAGAGTAGGTGGTGGGGAGTGGAATGGGTGAAATAGGTGAAGGTGATTAAGAGTACACGTACCACGATAAGCGCTGAGTAATGTATACAATTGTTGAATCTCTATATTGTACACCTGAAACTAACATAACACTGCATGTTAATCATACTGGAATTAACTTTTAAAAAATACTCATGTACTTAATACTGTCAGACCCATAGTGAGCACTCCATGAAAGGTAGACATGTAATATAGTAGTATTATTCTTACTGCCATTTTTATGACTTTGAAGGTTATATTTTATCCTTAAAGTCTAAGTGTCCATTAGACAGAATGCATTGAAGAGAGATCCCCTCTCAAAACAAAACAAAACAAAACAGTGATAAGTTCTATAATAGCTAGAGTTAAGCATTAGAGTGATAAATTAGAGAGGGTATGCTGTTGTTATATGGAAATAACCATATAGTAGCTAAAGCTGAAATGTTACTAATGTTAAGCTTAGACTTATTTACCACTTTGGATGATAGTCACAACAAACTTATAAATAAACCTGTAAAATTAGCAATAAAATAAAATGAATTTCATGTCTTTTTTCCAGATCTTGGGTATGATGCTTAACTTTTAAAAATTGAAACAAAAGTTGACTTCTGAAAGTCCATACGACCCATAGTTTTCAGCACCAATAAGCATTTGAATTAATACTAATACTGCCATTATAAAAGCATTTTAGAGGCTATTTCAGATGAAGAGACTTTACAGTTTGCTCAGCAAATGTTTTTAACAACTATAAAAAGTTCCATCTTGATTTTCTCTAATTGGCATCCTTTCTTATTGTCAATGCAAATATTTTAACTTTTATAAAATATAATAAAAAGGCTCAAACAGGTGTGTAGTGTTTTCCATTTAGAGGGTAATAAAGGATTGCAAATATTAGACTGTTAATCTTTATATGCTCATGAGAGAATTATTGTGAAATCCGAAACTTCATTTCAGTTCTAGGCAGGATATCTTGAAGTTACAAGTGAATTGCACTGGGTCAAAATGAGCATACACAGCCTTGAAGTAGGTTAAAAAAAAAACTATTGAGGCTCCTGGGTGGTTCAGTCAGTTGAGCATCCAACTCTTGATTTGGGCTCAGGTCATGATCTCACAGTTCATGGGTTTGAGCCCTGCAATCTCAGCAGATTGAGATTATCTCTGTCCCCTCTCTTTGCCTCTCCCTCTCTCTCACTCTCTCAAAATAAATAAATAAACTTAAAAAAAT